TCCGATCCAAGAAACGAGCGCGGACCTCAGAATGTCCATGCGCCTGCCGCTATTTCTTCCCCTAGAGTTAAGTCGGACACGTCTCTCTACCGGAAGAATCTTCAAACATAGTCAAGCACATGTTAGGGAACTGTTTTCCTAATATGTATGTTTTTTCATTCCTTGACTTCTTCTATTCTTCGTCCCAAATCCGCCTATAGGAGGACATGCCCGACCTAACCCTACAGCAGGCAATGGTCTCGCGCCTCCGCCACGGGCGGTGCGGCCAAGGTGCCGAGCGACGCCAGCTCCAGCCTGGAGGGAAGGAACACGCCGACCTGTTCGGGCTCGTTTCGATTCCCCTGATTCGAATAGATTCGATGTCGATGGCCTCTGATTCCGATTCGATTCGACTTCGGATGCCGTTCTGGATTTCGATTCTTCAGCGGAGCCCTACAAGCCTGCCGGCTTCTGCTGACTCGACCTCTCCCGACTCGGCTGTCGATGTCCGCCGATCCGATTCATGTCGATCGCCGACCCGATTTGTCATTTCGATTCTGGGGCTCTCCTGCCCTGACCAAGATGCCACGGGGGATTGTTGGCGCCCGTCTTCCGGGGGAAAAGTTTTGGCCACCGCTCCCGCGCGCGTTTTCTGTGCGGGATCGGCTTGTTCGAGGGGGTGTACGGGAATCGCGTCCCCAGGGGATGCCCCATTTGGTACACATCTCCCTCTCCACGGTCTTGTGTCGGACCAGCTTATTTCTGGGGATGGTATACAACATCGGTCGGAGGTAAGGGGGGGGGTCTCAAATGGGGTTGAAGCAAAAGGCCCTAAAGGGGCCCTTGAGGGCCCCTTTTGAGCACCTGCTGGCTCTACAAGGGGCCCTAAAGAAGGACCCCTGTAGGGCCCTTTTCTACACCCCCCATTTGGGTCACCCCCGCCGACGTTGGCGCACAAGTTGCCCGAATAATAAAGTCGCGCGTTAGAGCCCTCGTCTCCAATGAGGCGTGCCGCGCCAGCGGCTCGCGTAAGCTACCGCGTAAGGTCGCTATGTCGTCTTGCGTAAGACCCGTTTCTTTTTGTCGCTATCCTCTCCTCTCCTCTCGTCCTTCCTCGTCGTCGTCGTCTTCGTCGTCGTTGTCGTTTTTTGTCGTCGTCGTCGCCTTCGTCGTCGCCTTCGTCGTCGCCTTTGTCGCCGTAGTCGTCGCCGTCGTCGTCGTCGTCGTCGTCATCGTCGTTGTTGTCGTCATCGTCGTTGTTGTCGTCGTCGTCGTCGTCATCGTCGTCATCGTCGTCATCGTCGCCATCATCAGCGGCCCGTCCTGGTCATGGCCAGCCTTCTCCTTCCCTCCGCCGGCGCCTGGTCCGCGGCCAGCGGCCTCTGCACGGCCTACGTCCCCGCGCCGGGCAGCACGCAGCCCCTCCACGTCCTCGCGGGCCTGCCGCCGCCCCCGCCGAGGCCCGGCAGCCTGGCGGGGAAGACGAGGAGCGCACCGGCCTGCGAAGAGGGACGAAGCGCCATAAAAAAAGCACTAACTTTTTGGCGCTCCGCGCGGATTTCTGGGATCCACACTGGGGCCCCCCCTGCGGCGCCGCCCCTGGCGCGCTTCGCGCGCCAGGGAGGGGTGTGTGTGTGTGTCGTGGATCTCAGAAATCCGCGCGGAGCGCCAACAGTTTATGGTTCTGGCGTTTCTGTTTTTATTCTGAGCCTGAAGCACATCCCTATCCTTAGGTCGGGCAGGTCCCTCTACAGGGGAAAAGGTTACTCAACAGTCTTAAAACGAAATGGTCTGGGGACGATTGTTTAACTATTCTTCAGTCTTTGTGACTCTGTTTCGTTTTTTTCGTTGATCGTCCGAAATCCGCCTGTACGAGGGCATGCTCGAACTAGCCCTATCCCCACGATCGGGGAACAGTCTGAGCCACCCAGATGGGGTCGGAGTGTAAATGGGGTCGGAGGATCGCGCCGCATGGCCGATGCACCAGCGATGCGGCTCGATGTGAGGGCACAATTTCTCCACGCCGATGGCGTCGGTGCGTCGCCGGCGTCGCCGATGCATTAGCGATGCATCGGCGATACGGCGTGATCCTCCGACCCCATCTACTCGGACCCCATCTAGGAGGCCTCTATTCGATCGGGGAAACAATGGCGTTTTTTTTCTCGGCTCGGCGCTGCAGCCCCCTGGCGGCGCCTCCGGCACCGCCCCTGGCGCGCTCCACGCGCCGGGGAGGGAGGTCCAGTGTCGATCCAACAGATCCGCGCCGATTTCCAGCAGATTGTGTGTGTGTGTGTGTGTGTCATTGCCTGTTCCCCGACACGACGGGCATCACCTCGTCTCAGGTTTGCCTCTGGCCTCTGGGGGGCGCACCTCTAAGCTGACCATCGCCTTCTGGCTTGTCAGTCTTAACGAAGGATCAGGCTGCACGCCGGTCGTTGAAAGTAGGTATTTGCGGATGCCCAGATCCCAATCTACTTCAAGCGCCTTCCTACTTCAAGAAGCGACACGCCTTTGCTGTGTCTTGTTATTCCCTTGGGGGGCCTTCCGACTGGCGTGTATGCGCGAGCCTGGCCAGGACCAACCCCTCCACCGGCGCGGAGGCGTGGCACAGCCTGGCGAGCCCGCCAGCGGGAGGGGCGGCAGCTGCTCCGGCCGGCCCTCCGAGCGCCAGCTTCGTGGTGCCGGTGGACCTCGAGGGAGAGCAAATCTGGCGTCAAGTCGGGCATGGCCCTCTGCAGGAGGAATACTCCAGAGTAGTGAGAAGATCGTCAGGGGACGATGTTTCGTGCTATTTCGATTATTGCTGATTCTTTTTTGTGAGGATTTGTTTTTTATCTGTCTTCCAGAATCCGCCTGTAGGAGGACATGCCCGACCTAAATCTTTGGGTCGCGTGATAGGGGGGGGGGGGGGGGGGCGATCTCCCCAGCCAGACCACGGACGGCTCGCCTTCTCTCCTTTTTGGGCCTCTGGGGGCCTTTCCCGGGCCTCGGGGCCGTCAAGCAACGAATCGGGATGAGAAGCCTGGTCCCGAGGAAAGGGTAGAGACTTCTGGGGGTTGTGCGGGGGAAAAGGGCGAAGCAACGCGCACGTGTCTTGCCCCTTGCGGGCCCCAGTGGAGGGCCTCTTCGGGCCCCTGAGGTGCGCGCAATGAGGGGGGCAATCATTGGGGAGGGGGGCCGGGGCGAAGGCACCTACACCTTGTGTGCTCCCTAGGTGCCCCAGAGGTGCCCCCTGTCAGGCAGCGACGAGGCGTCCCGGCTCGCCTATAGCCCCACCAGACAATGTTCTAATAACCTTGTGTGGTTCCCGCTAAATGTTCTTAGAGCATTTCTGGCTGGGACTGTCTTTTTTTAGCACATCGGGTTTATGTTCTAAGAACATTGTTTTTGTTCTTAGAACATGTTTAAGACAATTTCGTGGTATGACTATAGGAATGCCAGGACGGTCGGTCCCTGCTCAACCCTGGGGCCCGCAATGGGCACAACAGGTGCACGTGTCTTGGCCCCTCTTCTGTCGCCCCCCAGACAGCAACGCCCCAGGAATCTGCATGACAGTAAGCGTTCGGAGCTCCGCGCCTATTTCCTGGATCTACCTGCGCTGGGCCCCCCCATGGCGGTGCCGCCGGCGCCGATGCAGGGAATCCGTGCGGAGCTCCGACAGTGTAGGTTTACGCCGTGCCTCCCTTGTCCTAGGACAGCATGACGAGCCTGGGCGACGCGGGCAGGGTCGGTATCGTGGACACCATCAGCGGCGTGGCCTTCTCGGTGGTCGTGTCGCAGAACGATCCTCGGGGATCTGGAAGGGTGCGTGCAGCCGATCCGCCGAGCCCCTCGTGGCTGCCCCACTCTCGCCTCTCGAGGAAGGGGGGAGGTCGGAGGGCACCAACTATACACCAACACCGATCCTGGCCCAGGATCACCCTGGGCCCAGGATCGGTGTATATGCCTTCTTGCGCAAGGCAGGAGGGCGTATACACCGATCCTGGGCCCAGGGTGATCCTGGCCAGGATCGGTGTTGGTGTATAGTTGGTGCCTTCCTAGGAGGGGCCGCGATCCGATCCCATTGGTCCGATGATGTGCGCCGATGTCTGCGAGCAGCCTCGGCTCAGTCCTCAAGGTGCAGCCCCAGCGCGGCTCGCCTCTTCCTCCTCGCATGGGGTTCGGTTTCGCCGGGCTTCGGCTGTGCAGGTTTTTCGATCGAGGAGGCGATCGGCTTTTGGACAGCCAGGGACGAGAGGTTGGTGCGGGGGCTGGGCCAGTAGGGGGAGGGAGGAGGCCGTCCCAGGAGGTCACAGGGGCTTACAGATGTCCCCGATGGCCCCAGCTTCACCGCTGGACCAATGTGTATATATATATATATGCATATATATACATATAATATATATATATACGCACACGTACATATTGTGCCGATCAAGGGCCGATCAAGGAGCGCAAGGGAACCGCGATGCTCGGTCATCCGTCCTCGACCCTGGAGGGGGGGGGACGGCAGGGCCGTGTTTGCACAGCTTTGAAGAAAATTGCCTCTTGATCATGGAAGCGGCACTGAAAACAAATGCTCACCAGAACGCTACAAAGACTGTTCACCGAAACGGCCTGGCCAGTCTGAGGATCTGCAGGACATTCGGAACTGTTTAGAAAACGGTTCGGATCCAGTACAAAACCTTGATTTCGACCAGGCCCCCGCAAGGAGAAACAAAAACGGTGAAACAACGGCGCCGACGCCAGAAATGGTACAACATTTGAACATCGAGCACGGTGCGGGCGGGCAACAGACCAGAGACCCGCACCCGCTGAGCCATTTCCCTACTAGCACGGAAGTTTCGGGCCAGGGCGGGTCCCAGAGCATCAAATCCAGACGGGCTAAATGTTTGGGACCCGCACCCGTTCGGCCACGTGTTCCGTGCGGCGTTTCTGCGCAAGGGCTGGTTCCAGGAGTGGAGGCCCGAGGGGGATTGGCTGCAGGAGGGGATGGCGGGATCGGTGTGCCTGTCCTGCACCCCGTTCATCAGGGCCTCCAGAGGCTTGAGCTCCTCACGCGGGCGCTCGACACGTGCGCGAGCGCGGAGCCTGCCGAGGGCGCCCAGGGCGGCGTCTCCAGGCTGCTGAGTGCATCCCCCCTCCTCCTTTCCTTCCTCCTCGTCCATCCTGCCTCCTTCCTCCGTCCTCCCCCTCCGCCTTCCTCTCTTCCGCATCGTCCCCAGACTGTCCTTCCTCCGCGTCCCGCCTCCCTCCTTCCCCTCCTCCCTGCTCCGCTGCAGTCCTGCCAGGGGGGGGGGCGCCACAAGGTGCCGTCCCGTGGGGCACCCCTTTGGGGCGCCTCCCGCCGCCCCTGCTGCGCTGGCCAGCAGAGGGGCATCACCCACCAAAGTCGATGATCCTCAGGACGTGCGTTGACCTTGTGTGTGTGTGTGTGTTACCGCGTTCCTCCTACTCCCCCCCCCCCTTGCCGCCTTGCCTCCCCGTTTCCCCTCGTGCACGCTGGCCAACTCGCTTTCCGGCACCACCGTCCAGTTCCTCGCTCGTGCAGCCACCTCTGCCTCGCCGCCGACACAAAGTTGTCACCGCGTTCAGCCCCACCAGCAGATCATTCCATCTCGGAAGCCAGGCAAGGGTTGCTAAATTCGTGGCTGCTAAAATCGACCTTCGGGAAGTTGTCTTCGTCCGTGGGGAAGAAGCCCGTTGACTGTTTCGCGTGCCGCGCCTCATTCCGGGAAGTTGTTTTCTCCATCCGGGAGGGCCGTTTTAGCAGCCACGGTTTTAGCAGCCCTCGCCCAGTTTTCGACCATCGCCTGCGCCGTGTGGAAGGGCCTCAATGTTCAAGCACACGTCGGCGCTGAGGCGTGTTTCTTCCTGAGGATCATCGACGCGGGCTCGAGCCGCTCGCTCCCTCGCCTCGGGCGTCGCGTCACGGAGGGGCGGCAGAACGGATGACTGAAGAAAGGTGTACCCATCGGTCGTTGAGAGTAGGTATTCTTGGATTCCCAGATTCCAATCCACTTTCAGCGCCCTCCTACTTCCAGAGTCCAAGAGTCGAGTGGTTTTCCATCTTCCTTCCTTCTTCAGGAGGCGGGCGGAAACCCAATCTATTTCCAACGCCTTCCTACTTCATGTGTCTACCTACTTCTTCCGACCGACGGGTACCCTTTGTGGCCTACAGGGCCCCCCTGTTTGGGACCCAAACGTGGCAAGAAAGGCGCACAGTTCCCCCCCTATGTAATCATCGGGGGCAACGATGAGGGGAGATAGGCATAGGGGAAGGAGCACATCGACACCCAATGGACCACTGATCGCCGATGGGAGCCTGGCAGCCCCGCCCAGCCCAGGAACGTACGGATTTTTTGTCGGGGGTTCTATCGCGGATCTATCGGCGATGCATCGCAGATTCCAGGTCGATCCTTCCCCCCCCCCGCCCCCACGCCATCCCCCCTCCCCCCCTGTATGGTTGCCCCTCGATTGATCGCCCCCCCCCGTGAAGCAGCGCCTGCCCCCCCCCCCCTCCCCCGTGCAGGCTGCTGCGGCTGCGCGGCCCCGGCGGGGTGCCCCTCGGATGCCTGGCGCCGCGGGCGGACGGCGCGATCGCCCTGCACAGGCACGGATTTGGGCTTAAGACGGGCCTGTCCCTCTGCAGGAGGAATATTCAAACATAAGTAGTACAATTACTCCGACGGTGGGACCCCGCGCGAGGATCGGTTTTTGCTTGCCCCTCGCCTCCTTCTTCTTCGTCTAGCGGAGGCGTCCTGCCGCCCTCTCCGTCCTCCTTCTCCTCCTCCTCCTCCTGTTCTCCCCTGGCCCGGATGCAAGGGTTTCCCCCTGCTTCCGATTCGGCCGCCGATGGGTTACCACCGGCGGCCTGGGGACAAGGGGTTACCCCTGCCCCCGATTCGGCCGAGGATGGGTCACCACCCCCATCCCGGACGCAGGGGCTACCCTTGCGCCTGGCCGCTGTCTCGTCGTCGTCGTCGTCGTCGTCGTCGTCATCTTCGGCTGCTGAGTCGCCCATTTCGGGCACGCGGGCCCATGTCAGTGACACATATCCCGGCGACCAGCCAGGACGAGGCTACCCGCGAATCTTTCACAGAAGAAGCTCCCGCCAAATTTGTCCTCTATATTCAGACCTTTAGGGCCCGAAAATGCCGACAGTTACAAGGTTTACGATGGCCCGCTCGGATCGCCAATATGAAGTGCGGGTCACATAAGGATCGGGCTGCCGCCTGAGACTTCCTCACCGTTCACTCCCAAACGAGACTCCCGCCTGATATTTCCTCCAGATTCACGCCTAAGGAAGCCCAAAGTGAAGACAGTTACAGGTTTGAGGACGACCCGCTCGGATTACCCACATGAGCTGCGGGCCCCATAGGGAGGGGGCTCCCGCTTGAGACTTCCTTTAAATTCACTCACAGACGAGCCTCCCGCCTGATACTTCCTCCACATCCAGGCCCCAGGGCCCAAAAGTGACGACAATTAAAGGATTCCGATGACCTGCTCGGATTGAAAACGTGAGCGGCGGGCTCCATAGGGCGGGGGCTCCCGCTTGAGACTGTGCCAGAATTCACTCACGGACGAGGCTCCCGCCTGATACTTCCTCCATATCCAGGCCTGGGGGCCCAACAGTGACGACAGTTACATGATCCCGATGTTCGCTCGGATTAAAAACATGAGCGGCGCGCCCCACAGGGAGAGGGCTCCCGCCTGAGACTTCCTCGCAGTTCACTCACACACGAGGCTCCCGCCTGATACGTCCTCCATATCCAGGCCTCAGGGGCCCCAAAATGACGACAGTTATAGGATTCCGATGACCCGATCGGATTAAACACATGAGCGGCGGGTCCCATGAGGAAAGGGCTCCCGCCTGAGACTTCCTCGCAATTCACTCACAAATGGGACCCCCGCCTGATACTTCCTGATGTGGGTCTGGACGATGATGACAATGGTGATGGTGATGGTTTTCGCTCACAGCGGAGGCTCCCGCCTGAGACCTCGTCAAGATGAGATTGTGAGTGTGTGAGTAAGAGTATGTGTGTGTTTGATAATGACGATGTTGACGATGGTGTCTCACGGCCGAGGCTCTCGCCTGAGACCTCGTCGAGATGAGTGTGTGTGTGTATTGTGTGTGAGGAAGTGTGTGCTTGATAATGACGATGTTGACGATGATGCTGTGATGATGAGTGGTTAGTAGTAAGTGTGAGTAAGTGAGTGAGTTGGAGATTGCGAGTATGTGCGAGTGTGTAAGTGATGATGATGCGGTGATGCTAATGCGGTGATGATGATGCCGCTGATGCTGCTGATGAATATGATGCTGCTGCTGATGATGATGATGATGATGCTGATGCTAATGCTGATGCTGCTGCTGATGATGATGATGATGATGCTGATGATGCTGATGCTGATGCTGATGATGATGATGATGATGATGATGATGATGATGATGATGATGATGATGATGATGATGATGATGATGATGTGAGTGTGTGAGTGTGTGAATGTGTGAGTGTGTGAGTGTGTGAGTGTGTGAGTGTGTGAGTGAGAAGGGAGGGGGTGCTCCTGTTCCTGCCCGGGGTGTCGAGGGAAAACAAGAACCCCACGTTGGATGCGTGGAAACGGGGACGACTTGCCGATTTTGTTTATGTATGTTTGATTATGTTTGGGGTATTTTAAATGGTTCGTCCAACATCCGCATGTAGGAGGACATGTCCGACCTAACTCTAGGCCTTCCGGATGGGGTCCGAGAAGACGGGTTCAGTCGGGCATGCCCCTCTACAGGAGGAATAGGCAAGAATACAAAAAAACGGCGTGGTGACGATTCCTCGTCTTTTTGTTCGTGTCAGTTTGACGTATGTCTTAACTCTTTTGTTTTCTTTCTCTTCCCAAATCCGCCTGTAGCGGGGCATGCCCGAACTAACACATGGGGTCAGAGGATCGCGCCGCATCGCCGATGCATCGGGCGAGGCGGTTCGATGCGGAGCCCGATTTCGCCACGCCGACGTCGCCGGTGCATCGCCAACGTCGCCGATGCATCGGCGATCCGGTGCAATCCTGCGACCCCAGCTACTCGGCCCCCATCCAGGAGGCCTCCAATGGAGGCCACTGCACACCAAACCACCCAGAAGCAACCCGGAGGTTCCAGACCCCCCCTCAAACAATGTCGCCTTTGGGGTTGCACGCAGGCGGAGAGCACAGGGGGGAAGTTGGAGGGAGAGAGATGTGTCAGAAGGTGGCGGAACTCCTCAGACGCGCTCACGCCTTATGAGAAGTTATCTGTGTCTTCGGGCAAGGATTTGAACACTTCTCAGAAGGCCCGAGGCTATCCGATCCCGCTGAGAAGGCCCGCCCCCTCTCCCTCCCCATTGGTGTACGGGTTCCATGCTGGTTTCTCGATGCTACGGAATGACCCGCCCCCCACGGGGAATTGACAGGCCCAACGGACGGTGGTTTCGGGTTGGGGTGGTGTGGCGTTGTGGGTAGTCAGGATCGGAGGAGGGCGGCAAGGAGGGGTACGGGGTAACAGAAGGGGGGATAGGTTCAGGGGAGGGGGGGGGTCCTCAGGGGGGAGACGCATCGATCCATCCTCCATCCCTCCTCCTCCTCCTCCCTCCTCCTGCCTCCTCCTCCTGCACCTCCTGCACCTCCTGCACCTGCCTCCTCCTGCCTCCTCCTCCTGCACCTCTCTCTTCGTCCGGGAAGGTTTTTTGAATCTCATGTTTTCGGTGGTCCTCGGCACTCCTCCGCTGTCCGGGCGCCTTGCGGCAGCTGCGCCTCGCCGAGAGGCGTCCAGAGGGGCGCCCAGATCGTCCCGAACGGCCGCTCGAGAGCCGAGTTATATGGCCTGGAAACCAGGGCAGGGGGGGAAGCATGCAGGAGACGAATCCTGGAGTCGTGTCGCCCCTGTCGGGCCCTGGGGGCCCCCTCCGGCCCCAGGAGCGCCCCGAGCCGAGTTATACGGCCCGAGAACCAGGGGCAGCGTCAGGGAGGGGATAGGCTCGAGGGGGACGCCTCGAGCCCGAAGCGCCCGCTCAGCCCTGGCAGGGGCCTGATCGCTCACCCCGCCCAGGGACTTTCGGATTCGGTACCGGCGGCCTCTCATCGTCGATGCGTCGGCGGTGCATCGCCGGCCGCCATTTGAGGTTCGCCCCCCCTGTTTGGACACCCGAGATGGGCACGGAAAGAATGGGCACCATGCCCAACAACAAATGTTGTCCCAAGCCAACAGCGGCCGCTGTTGGGCAGGCGGCCCATCTGTCTCGAATGGACAGGCCGCGGCGGCGTGGACAGCGAATCCTGTTGAAAATGAACAGGAATTGTTGTTGGGCGTTGTGCCCATTCTTTCAGTACCCATTTCGGGCGTCCAAGCCCTGAGCCAGTCCTCCACTCGTCACCTTTCGAGGGTGGCAGGGGGGGAAGCGTGCAGGAGACGAATCCTGGAGTCTCGTCGCCCCTGTCGGGCCCTGGGGGCCCCCCTCCGGGCCCCACGGAGCGCCCCGACCACGAGGCGGGGCGAAGGCGCGGCCTCGGGAGAAGCCCCCGAGACCAGGACCCGCTTCCACCGGGACGCCCTTCCATCAGGCCGAGGGGAGGAGGAACAGGATGGATCGAGGTTCTCCTCCTCCTCCTCCTCCTCCTCCTCCTCCTCCTCCTCCTCCTCCTCCTCCCATCAAGACTCGAGAAGCTAGTGCATGTGATGTCCTCCGTCGGCCGTTCGGTGCCTCGGGTTGCCTCTGGTCAGGCACCTCCGAGGCTGGCATCCTTCATCCATCACTGCACAACTTCTCAATACCAGTACCATCCTCCTCGTTTCCGTGCTCATGTCCAGCGGGGCCACCGTCTCTCTCGCGCACGCTTGTGTCTACCGGGTTTGATCCGCTTGTCTTTTCTATAGTTATGTTCGATCGGGACGTTGCAGCGTTGGGCGCACAACCGGATTGGTGGTTTGCCCTTGCTCATTCAGAATGGCATCTTCGCCTGGGCCACACTCCTGGATCTGACTCCGTCCTCGCCGTTGCCATCCCCCTCCTTGCCCTCCGTTCGCCGCCTTCCATTGGTTCTGCCTTCTCCTGTCGCTGCTCATCCTCCTCCTCCTTTCTCGTCTTTCCCTCCTCCTCGTGGTCCTCCTCATCCTCCTCCTCCTCCTCCTTGCCTTTCGATCGCCGCCTTCCATTGATTCTGCCTTCTCCTGTCGCTGCTCATCCTCCTCCTTTCTCGTCTTTCCCTCCTCCTCGCGGTCTTGCACCACCTCCTCCTCCAATGCGCAAGCCCCCCCTCCCCGGTCCTGCTGGCGCATCGCACGAGGGCGTCACTTCAGGGAAAGACACTTCCTCCACGACGCCTCCTGGGCGGGCGGCCAGACGAGCGCTCGGAGGATCTGGGAGACAGGGGTACTCCAGATTTCGTAATAAAAGGGAGGGGGTCTCAACCCTCCCAGACGAGAAGTTTTAGACCCCCCCCCTGGGAGAACCCTCCAAAACATCGTCCCCAGACCCCCCCAGGCCCTCAAAGATGGCCTGGAAGAGACCCCCCCCGAAATGAGACCCCCCTCCCTTTATTACGAAATCTGGGGTAGCGCGTGTCAGATATGGTGCGGGGCGGTCCCAGTTCTTCCCCTCTCCTCTCTGTCTCCCGCTCTCTCTTCCCATTCAGGGCAGGAAGAAACCACCAGGACCCGATAACTGGCGTTTGCTGAACGGCCGCGGGCGTTTACTGACCAGCCCTGCCCTGTTCGATTCTCTCTTTAGGGTGCGTTTGCTAAACGACTTCGCGCGTCGGGGTGATGATCACGAGGGTGGATGGTCTGCTCTCTATCCATCTTCCTCCTCCCCCTGTCCCATCTGCGCCCGTGTCCGGCAGCACTTGCGGACAGGGGGCAGGGCGGAGGGAGAGCGTAGCGGGGGCGATGGTAACGACTTCTGTGTCGTCTCGCGTGCCCCCTCCGACCAAGCCCGACTGCCGTGCCCCCCCCGTTTACGAACTCCCGGCGAGGCCGGGGCAGCCGCAGCTCATCATCCGCGGCGACGAGGTCCGCACGGAGGACGGCCGGCTGGCGGCGACGGCCACGCGCGGCCAGGACGGCCCCGTCGGGGCCGAGCACGTCGAGCTGAGCGTCTTCGACGGCACGGACGTGCACCTCGTCGTCTGCTGCGTCTTCGCCGTGCTGCTCCTCTGGCGCGAGGGGCCCTGACCGACGCGGAGGGCGCCCACTCCCCGTGGAGGTTTGGGGCGCTCCCGCCGGCGCTCGGCGCCTCCCTCCGGCCTCGGGGCGCCGTCCATCCGCTGCGCCCCGCCGGGAGGCGCCCCGGGGTGCCCGGATCGGCCCGAGCGGCCGCCAGGGAGCGGAGGTGCTGCCCGAAAGCGCGGGGCCACGTCAGGGAGGGGATAGGCTCAGTCAGAGCCCCGAATCATCAGGGGTAACTCGGGTCAGGGATAACTCGGGTTCGGTTTTCGGGAATCCAAACCCGAGTTACCCCGGACCCGAGTTACCCCGGATAACTCGGGCGACCAACTCAGGGGTGGGTGTGCGTATCGACCCCCAACCGCCCATTCGTCGCCGGTAGTGGCCCGGTGGCCCACCCCGCCCAGGAGCGTGCGGATCCATCGGCGATGGATCGCCGATGGCAGGTCGATGCGTCTTCCTCGCAGTCTTCGGGCCGAACGAGAGGGGGGGACAGGGAAAGGGGGGGACGAAATCTGAAGGAGGAGGAGAAGGAGGAGGAGGAGGAGGAGGAGGGGGAGGAGGAGGAGCTTGTCCCCCCCCTTCACGCTCCCGCTCGTGCACGGACCTTGGCCGGGCCGCTCCCCGGCCCGGGCGGCCGGCGCGCCGGCCTTCCTCGTCAGGCTGGGAGGGCAGATGCTCCGATCGCCTGGGCCCTGGCTGGGCACGGCCAGGATGTTCGATGTGTTCGTCGATTACCATAGATATACACAATAATATGGGGCATGGGGGGGGGGGGAGACGAAAACCATAGGGGGGGGAAGACGAAAACCCTGAAACTCTGGGAAAAGATGGGGAATCCTTGGATTTGTGCGTATGTACCTTGTGTGTCCCAAGGCCCCTTCAGTATACACCGCATCTTTTGGTGGGCCAGGGAGGAAAGCAGGCCAGTGTACGGCCGCTCCAGCTTCCCAGGGGTTGGGCAGCTGGGGAGTGTATACACCCAGGCCCCTGGCCGACCAGACGACTGGAGCGCCTCCCAATCGGCACAGGGGTACAGTTGGCGCCCTCCTGTTGAATTGGCGGCTGGCTGTTGCATCCTCCCCTATCTTTTGTCTCGCGCTCTGTCGAGTACTTGCAGGTGGAGCTGTGATCTGCTGGGCTGCGCTTTCAGTGACGGCTGGCCTTTTGGCACAAGGTCCCGGGTGGCGAGGGTCATGAAGCCTCCTACAGTCAACCCGCATGGTAAGGATGAGCGACTCCCCAAGGTTACCCTGGCATCCTTCCCCTTCGGCCCATCCTTGGCCGCTTTCGCTGGCCCCGCCCCGCTCGCAGAGTATCGACATGGCCTTCCAAGGCCCTTGCATCCTTGTCGTGCGTCCTTGTTATGTGGGTTGACGGTGGAAGTCACAAGACCCTTTTTCTCCTGGCATCGCTCGGGCGTGTGCACTTCTGTTCTCGACGAGGACACCCGAGGACCCTCCCACCATCTCGGGCCACCTCGCGAGCAGACGCACGCGCGAAGCCGAAGCATGGCACGGGGCCTGGACGCCCGAGCGATGGCGAGCCCCCTCCTCCTTCGGCACGACCCCATGGGCCCCCCCCCCTCTCCAGCGCCTGGGGGTGTGTGCGGGAGAGCCCGCAGCTGCGAGCCTCGGGCGCGGGCCTCCTCGCCGCCTGCACCCCCCCCTCTCTCCCTGTTCCTCCCCCCGCCCCCGTCGCCCCTCCCCCGGTGCGCCTCCCCCCGTGCCCCCTCCGCGCCCCGCTCTGCCGCCTCCTCCTCCCACGCCCTCTTCTCCTCCTCCTCTTCTCGTCCTCCTCCTTCTCTTCCTCCTCCCTTCCCTCCTCCTCCCTTCTTCTCTCTTCCCTCCTCCCCTCTCTTCCTCCTCCTCTTGTCTTCCTCCTCTCCCTCCTCCTCCTTTCCCTCCTCCTCCCTCTCCTCCTCCAGCGCCCGGCTGGGCACGTGCCCCGGGCCAGGGCGCGCCGCCTCACGGGAGCTTGCGCCCCCCGGGCCCGGGGCACGACGAGTCGGCAGCGAGGGGGGAACCCCCAAGCCGGGTGGTGAGATACCAGGTCGCGACCTGGAATCCCCCCAAAAGGGTCACCGCTGGGTTTGGGGACACGGGGTCACCACCGGGTTTTGTGGCTCCTGGACCCACCAGTGTTCGGGACATCCTCGGAAAACCGCACGAGTCCCCAATCCGGGTGGTGACGCCAAATCGCCCGAGACTCACCGCCAGATGTTGTCACCACCACGTTTGGGGACTACCAAGCGAGGGGGGCGGGGCCCCGCCCCCCCTCGCTGCCGACTCCTCCCAGGAGGGAAAAAAACACACAGACACAAATAGTCGTCGATTCCCCCCCAAAAAATATGGGAAAGTATGGGAAGTGGGGGGGAAGACAAAAACCCAGAAAATATAGGAAAACATGGTGCATCCTGTTATTTGTGTGTATTTATGTGTGTGCCTCAGGGCCCCTTCATCCTCGTCCTCCTCGGCTGAGGCGACAGTGGCGACTGTAGTTAGGTCGGGACTGTCCCTCTAGAATCGGCGGGATACTCAAGGATAGGCAAAACATAGTTTGGTGACGATCTTTCGGCTACTGTTTGGCTATGTTTGTTTATGTTTGTCCTCCAAAATCCGCCTGTAGGAGAGGACATGCCCGACCTTGGAATCGAGCCCAGGTTCGGATGCAACGCCTGGGAGCTCAAATTTGCCTTGTTTCGACATCCGTCTTAATACCGTTCAAGATAGCTGAATCCCGCATTATCTTGCTTAATGTCGCTTGAACCGCGGGCTAATTTGGCGCAGCAGCCCCCCAATGGGCTCAATTCTCCTTGATCCCTCCGACGAAGGTTCTATAGGCTTACGCCACATCCGCCGACCCCTCGATCGTCCTGGGGATGTCGTGTTGCTGTCCTGGGGCGTACTTGTGTTGTCTTGTTTCTTTTGGCGGGCGGGCTCGAGGCTCTTCGGGGCCATCCCCGAGCGAGTCCGGGGGCATGTGTGGCCGTTCACGGGACGAATCTTTTTGGAGGCCCCGAATGGGGTTGGCGGAGGCGGGTTGCATCATATGTGTCCAGACACGCGACAAGGCAGTGATCCGTGGTGGTGGTGATGGTGACCCGTGGTGGTGGTGATGGTGATGGCGGTGGTCATGGTGCCGGTGATGGCGATGATGATGTTGGTGGTGGTGGTGGTGTTGATGATGATACGCGGAGATGGTGACATGGTACCAAACAGGAGAAAGCGGAGTATGAGGAAGAAGAGGGGGAGGATGGGGGAGAGGCGGAGGAGGGTCCTCGGAGGAGGAGGAGAAGGAGGAGTGACGATTTGGGGAAAGTACCTGTCAACACCCGCGCCCATAGACGGCATGCGGCGGTCGAAAAATTTGACGAGTCGTTGTCGAATGGGACGCGGCGCATCCCGCCCTTTTGCGCGGTATGCAGGCAGGCGGCCACACGGATGGTGGAGAAGATCTCGTGCGAGGCCTGACGGGGTCGTCTTGCAGGTAGTTTTGGGGCCTCTTGGGGACTTCCTCGTGGCATCTTGGAGGCCTCGGAGGTTTTCTGGGAAGTCCCGCAGGCCCTTTTGGGGTGTTCTTGGGGCAGGCTGGGAGCGTCTTGGAGCCGAAGACTCGAAAAAGGTTCCCTGTGGACTCCGTGTTGGGGCCGTCTGGGGGCCCTCTTGGGCTGTCTTGGGAGCTTCGTGGGCTGTCGTTGGACCCTCAGCGACCCTGCTAAGGGGCCTCTTCGACCGTCTGGGAGCGATGTTGAAGGTGTCTTTGCTTGTTGTGGACGGTGTGATTGCCGAGTGGGCGAGCGTGCGGAGTAATGCGTGGCTTTCGAAGGGAATGGGCTGATTTTTGTTTCTTGCGACCCTGTCGGGGCGCATCTTAGGGGCCTTTCAAGGTACGACTTGGCAGCTTCGGAGACCGCCTGGAGACCATCGTGGGCGTCTGGGGGCGCTGTGTCGGCGAATCGTGGTTTCGGGGACCGTCCGGGGAGCGTTCTGGTATCTTTTTGGCGAGTTTTGGTACCCTTTTGACGAGTTTTAGGGCCATGTGGCCGGCTCGGTCCGGGGTCCGGCCGGGCCGGGGGCGGGGGTCGAATTGCCGGTTTGGGTTCCTTTGGGGGGGGATTATGGGGGGGAAGAATTTCACACGCCTAGAGACCCACAAGGTGTCGGCGGACCTCCCAGCAGTTGCCTCCCAACCCAGGGGAGCACATTATTCGTGTTCGCCCAGGAGCCCCGCCAAATGTTTTGACCATCGGGGCCCCTGGATACAAGTATTGCTCCCCCTGTGGCTATTTGCCCCTATCGTCGTTTCTGATCCTCTTCGGCGCACGAGACGGTCTGTTGGCACCAGCCGGGGACTCCTCCAGACCTCCCCCCGAGACAGATGCTCTCACGGTTCTCGTTGTCGGATTCCGGAGGGAAAACCGACAGCAAACAACATGCATTTTCGGAGGTCCACGCAGATTTCTGGGATCGGCGCCGGGCCCCCCACTCCCTGGCGCGCGGAGTGCGCCAGGAGCGGCGCCAGAGGCGCCGCCAGTGGAGCCAAGTGCCGATCCAAGCAATGCGTCCGGGCCTCCGGAAGTCTGTGCGTGTGCCGTGCTCGTGCTCCTCCAGTCCGATGTCGAGGCCTCCCCCCTCCCACCACTCGCAGCGCTGCTCTCTGCGCGGTTCGTTGAGGCCCTGCGCCCACGGGCCACCGGCGGCGCGTCCCTCGGCCGACGCCTCGCGGCAGGCGGCGGCAGCCCCATGTCCTCGGGGCGTCAGCCCTTCTGAGCAAATGGCGCGCACACTGGTCGGCGTCATGCGTACCTTTGTGGCCCGCGTTCGGCTGCAGGGGGATCACCACGCCATGCCGCGCTGCATCTTCAGGGGGCCTTCGTTTGTCCTGTAGGGTCGCGGTCATGTGTCGTGTCCGATGTGGCACTGGACGCGGATTCGGCGTAGGTTCGGTGTGGCATCCAGGTTCGACGTGGATGGCGGCACGACAGGGCAGACATGGTCCCGCGAAAA